GTGTGCTAGAGAGGTTTTAGTGGGTGCGGGGTGATATTCAGGGACTCCTAGTATATTTGGAGGGTACTGAAGGACTTTCAATACTGAATACATTTGAGAATCGTTCCCACACCAGAGGTGCCAGGACAGACAGTTCTTCCTGCCTTTACCCTCCCCTGGGCAACCTATCATCTGCACCTGAAACACTGGGGCTGTATGCTTTCCTTCCAAGTGCCTTTCCTTCCTTCTGTCGTGGTTTAGGAGCAGTATTCCCCAAATCAGCATTCAAACTGAAACACCTCAGGCCATGTCACTCCCTCACTCCCTCACCCCCTCTCCATCCACAGGGTGGAGGGAATTGGAGGCACAAAAGGTAAAGATCATGGGTTAAGATAAGATCCATTTACTTAAAAAATAGCAATAAAGTAGGAAAATGAACAGTAACAACACCTGCATTAATAACAGAGTGTACAAGACAGGTGAATGACTCATACATGATTGCTCACCGTGCAGAACCCGGCACTGCCTGTCCACACACACTATGCACCGACCAAACTGGACCTGGAGACAGTGTGACGTGAACCTTGGCATGCCCTTCCTGGCTGCTGCAAACACTAACCTTATCCTGGCCAGAAGCAGGACACCTTCCAAGGTAGAAAGCTATTCCAAATGCTTTCAGGAGCCAACTCCAAAGTCAGTACATTGGAAGATTGCTCCCACACCAGAGGTGTCAAGACAGAAAGTTCTTCCTGCCTTTACTCTCCCCTGGGCAACCTATCATCTGCATCTGAAACACTGGGGCTATGAGCTTCCCTTCCAAGTGAGAAGCTGTTGCAAACACTTTCATGAGCCACTCTACTGTCACTGCCCCATCCCTGGAAGTGCTCAAGGCCAGACTGGATGGAGCAACCTGGTCTAGTGGAAGGTGTCCCTGCCCATAGCAGCTTCTCTGGGAAACCTGTGTGCCAGTGCCTCAACATCCTCACAGGGAAGAATGTCTTCCCAATATCCCATCTAACCCTGCCTTCTGTCAGTGAGAAGCCATTCCCCCTTGTCCCGTCACTCCAGGCCCTTATAAAAGCACTTAGACACATTGATAAGATCCCCCTCCATCATCTCTTCTCCAGGCTGAACATTCACAGCTACCTCAGCCTTTCCTCAAAAGAGGGATGCTCTAGTCCTCACAGCTCCAGGAATGGGAATCTCATTCCCCAAGATCCTGTGAAGCAGAAGATGGCACAGGAGGGCTGTGCTGAGGGCACAAGAGGAGGTGACAAGCAAGGAGGTCACAGCACATGCCAGTGGCTCCCGAGCACACCTCTGCCCCCATGCCTGCACACCCATAGCACACGGGTGTCCCCCAAAACGGGGCAGAGGACTGGTTTTCCCTGGGGAAAGGCTGCCTGGTTTTGACCAGAGGGCCTGGCCTGGACTCACTAGATGCCAATGTCCAGGTTTAGGAATGAGACATTGCTGTACAGCTCTGAGGAGACTGAGCTGCTCTCCAGGCTGCGGTTCCATCCAGGTAGCGCCAATGGACCATGGTCCTTTGTGGAATCCTCATGCTCTGTGTTCCTAAGAAAATA